AGAAGGATGGATGTACCTAAAATTTTTTAGAATGGGAGCTTGGTATGGTTCTATTGAGTTAAATAGAATATGGCCAGAAGTTACCCATCTTTGGCACCTATGCACAAAATTCCCACAAACATAGCTCTACTGCTGCTTAAAAAAAAAAAAAAAAAAAATCCTTGCATATTTCCTAACAAAGTATGTCTGCTAGTATGTTTAGGCTGTGGGAGTGAGTGGCTCACATCTCTGGGTGTTATAGAAGATGCAAGGAAGTATTTTACACCGGTCAAGTGAACAGATTTATTTGAAATAGTAGCAGTACCACTCCTGGACCTGTCATTGTTGATAACTATTAGAGCTGCTGGCGCCACAATGAATAGGTAGACTCAATTTTGGGTTTCACTTTTATTCAGTCCATTGGCCTCGGTCCAGTCAGTTCCCTCTGGCGTAGGTAAGCATCACCAACTTAAGTCAACCCCCTCTGGCCACACTTCCCATAGAATCTGTACCTCTTAAGATCAGAAAATCAGATTGCAACTCAACACAAGCTATCTCTTAGAAACAGTGTGATATATATCTTGAGACCCTTGCTTGCAGTGCATTTGGCCATTGTTCTTCATAGCTATCCACCCAGCACCTCTTATGAAGCCCATGCTTTTCCTTGCAGTTAGAATGTTTTTGCCTGCAGGTAATAACTCAATTCAAACTAGTTTAAACAATAAAACACTTTGTTGGCTGTCATAACTCCCCAGTTTTTCATGCTCTCATAACTTGTGTCTATTTCTAATACTATTGCTCTAATTAAAAAAATTTTAATACATTTCACCTGAAGTATTATAATTGTGTCCTACCTGGTAATTCTAGTACCCCATTCATGGTTTCCTATAATAGGCATTTATCCATTTATTCAACATTTTGCATGCCTACCCTGCTATTTGGGGGGCGAAAACACACCATTGAATAAGTTAAATTGCAGTCCCTAAACTTAAGGAGCTATATTAGCTGGGAAAGGCTAGGCTATGGTACAGCATCAAATGGAATTCTATGTAAGATGACTGTAGCTCTGCCCCACGTCATATTCACCCCAGGACCTAGACTGATGGAGCAGCTTTTAAATGGAAATTTGCCTGCTGGTGTGGCCCAAGGAAAGAAAGTGTGACAAAGCACAAACTGGTTCTCAGAGTTTCTGCCTATAAGTGACATATGTCAGACTCACTTATATTTCACTAGCCAGATCAAGTTGCTTGACATATCTGACTTCAAGGAGTAGCGGAAGTATATACTTCTTCCTGGGAGGACAATGAATACTGATAACAAGTAAAGCAATCAAGCACATGACCTTAAAATTTAGATCAGGGGTCAGCAAACTAGAGCCTGCCACATACTTTCGTAAACAAAAGTTTTATTGGGACACAGTCACACCATTCACTTACACGTGGTTTATGGCTACTTTTGCACTAAAAATGGCAGAGTTGAGTGGTTAGGACAGAGACCATATGGCCAAGAAAACCTACAATGTTTATTCTCTGGGCCTTTACTGAAAACGTCTTCCCAGCCTGAGTTAGAGAGGCAGAAGGTTACATGTGTAAACATCTAAAATGAAATGTGTCCCACTTTCTTATTTGTGTCATGATTAAAGCCCCTGTTTTTCTGGAAGCAAGCAACGTCTAAAAATTGTTTTTTAATCAAGTTGAGGCATTAATGAGAAAACATACCATAAGACCAATATTTTTTAAAAAGTACTTTGGAACTGCAGAGGAAACAGGTCTGATTGAAAAGATGAGGGAAGATGTTTGGAGGAAATACAATCCAAAGCAAGCACTGAAAGGAGAAAATATGTTCTCAGGCGTGCCTTCAAGGGAAAAGTATTGCACAAAGAAGCAAAAACTTGAACAAGGGAAGTTTAAGGTATGTTCAAGGAATAGTGAATCCTTGATTATGATTAAATGCTAGGATTTGTGTTGGATTATGGAAGATGAAGCTGTCCCTGGAAACACAAAAATACCATCTTGAATTTTAAAGTTAGAACCAAATTATTAGAAGAGGCAGCAAGAGTGTTGAAAGGTGTTCAGGGTTTGAATCTCGGCTTTGTCATGTGATAGTTGTGTGACATACCTTTTGTGTCACCGACCTTGAGCAAATTACTTAACCTCTCTGAGCCTCAGATATTCCTGCCTAGGAAATAAGAATAACTAGAACTTCATAGTTTTTTGAGGATTTAAATAATGGATACATAGTATCTGTCCTATGCTTGATACATAGTAGATGTTCAAAAATTATAGCTATTTTTATTAATCTTACTCTTTAAGCCATTGTCAATATGCTTCTCTGACTTTTGCAGCCAGCCCATTCCTAACTCACATACAATTTCTGGTCTTTGTGCCCCTTTTCATGTTGTGTCACCTGTCTGGAAGAGTCTGCTATTACCTGCTACCTGTGAAAAGTCTACTCTTCTTCAATATCCATCTCAGATAGCTTTCCATAATTTACAATTAAATCTCTTCCACTTATTCATATAATAGATATTCATAACACATTTCATTGAATTTTAGGTCTTATGTGTGTGTTGTCTTCAATCATTCATAAGATTCTTGAGGAAAGGAACTGTGTCTTGGTGTTGTTAGAATCTTTGTTATATAATTTTACAAGCAGCATTCACTCTTGGCAGAAGGATCCAGAAAATATTTTTATTTATTTCATGCTAGGATCCCTAGTTAATCAATAAACCATCTTGGGAAAACCTTAGTTCTGCAACTAAGTTGTCTTTATAAATAAGGACAAATATAAGGTCATAAGTTGATCTGGGTGTTGACCTTTCTCTAAATTTTGAAAGCAATTAAATTGAATTGTGTTCTTTATTAGCATGTAGGGAAGGCAATTTTAAAATCACACTTGTGAAATTCTCTGATCAAAAAGAAGCTTTATCATTATTGTTTACTTTCTGAGTATTTAATGAATAACATAAGGCTTAAATTTCTGTTGTGTGAGAAAATCACTAATAAGTGACAGAATGTTTAAAATGAAGAATTCAGTGAATGTGGCTGAAAATTGTACAAGGTACTTCCAGTTGTCCCTTTTCCTTTTGATACGTTCAGATATTTAAAGCAGTACACTCCAAGCACACTCAGGCTTATAGTCCTGAGAGTGGACCAGATGCGTCCCTGGAGCGTGGGAAAATCTTAGAGCCCTTATTCATGTTAAATTTTTATCCCATCATTTAAAAATCTCTAATTTTATATTTTAAAATATATATTATATATTTATATAGTATTTTATGTATATAATTTCTACACAAAAATTATTAAATACTAAATTAACTAATAAAATAAAATAAATTAAATCATTTAAAATGTGTGTGCTCAAAATTTATTGATTGATAGGGTATAGAATTAAAAAAACGAGATAATTGGTTTAAAGGAAATCAATATACATAGATACATAATGTATATATATATATATGTTGCAATATTTAGTCATGCATTTCTTGTTTATTAATTTTTAAAGACAATAGTGATTGCTTTCTTTCTGTACAGATAGCATTAGGACACAATACATATTTTGGAAAAAATATTGGTTTCTGGTGGTGAAGTGTCTTGTGGTAGCTTCGGGATCCCATCCAGCATTTTTAAGTTTGGCAAACAGGAGAACACTCTAAAGCAAAAGTTAAAGAAAAAATAAAACTATACTGAACAAAAGCATTGTATTTCACTTACTCTCTTTATAAATGAGTAGACTTTGCCTATTGTTACAAGAAAGATGAGTGGCTATCACTTTATTCTGTTTTCCTTGTCTCTGCAATGAGGTTACAGTAAAGTACTATTCACGTTCACTGAGGTGATGACCCTCCCATAGCTTGCCCTCTCAGTGAGCTACTAGATAGTTCAGCAGATTCTAAGTATTGAGCAGAGGAGTGGAACTGCATAGTCTGTTTTTATAAAAGAATGTCATTCCAGTTTTTACAAAGTCCTATAAAGAAAAAAAAATCAATGAGTGGATTTAGCCAACTAACCATAAGAGAAAGAATGAGGTCACAATATATGTACACATTATAAAGTTAAAAGTTTTTGGGGTTTTTTTTTTAGAGTAAAGCAAGTCCAAGTTGTTTAGTGATAGTTAAGGAAGAATTCTGGCTGAGAGTTATAAGAAGGGGTGGGAAATAATTTTGTGCTGAGTGATTTTGCCTTGACAGAGAGCATTTTTTTTTTGCGGTACGCAGGCCTCTCACTGTTGTGGCCTCTCCCGTTGTGGAGCACAGGCTCCGGACGCACAGGCTCAGCGGCCATGGCTCACGGGCCCAGCCGCTCCGCGGCATGTGGGATCCTCCCGAACCGGGGCACAAACCCGTGTCCTCTGCATCGGCAGGCAGACTCTCAACCACTGCGCCACCAGGGAAGCCCCAACAGAGAGCATTTTTGAAGCTCACGTTTCCAATTTAGACAGTCACTTCCAGGTTCAGGAAGCAGTCTTTCATGTCAACCGAGTTAAACAGTAGTTGTATGCCTAGCAGTGTTACAAAGCAGCATTTTCTTTCAAGTGGACAGCTTTCCTGGTTGGGGAGTTCTGGGGGCTCAGGCCAGAGGAAATGCATGGCTCTGGCATTGGCCCAGGCTGAAAGATGCTGAAACCTCTCAGGTGATGTGCTGAGTCAACTAATGATGGTGCCAACCTCCTCGAATGCTCCCATTGGCTGCATGACTTTCTTAGCTCTAAATGCTTTCTGCACATTATCTCATCCTCACAACAATTCTGTCAAGTTAGTTTTTATCCCCCATTTTAAGTAACTTATCCAAGATCATAAAGCCTGTAGGTGACTGAGCAAAGATTAAAAGCTAAGTCTTCTGGCTCCAACGTTCAGACTTAGCTGGCAGGAACTCCTAGTCACTTTCTTTTTAAAAAGTCAAACTATGGTGAACTAAGATAACACTGACTTCTGAAGAATGGTAGAAGAGTTTGCCTGTGGGTGTCCCAGAAAGTGGACTGCCCTCTACCTACTGGGACTTATACTATTAGCTCTATCGTTAAGTCCTTTCTCTTTTGAACTGTGCTGTCTTCTTATTGGAGGATCTGAAACAAAGGAGGAAGGGAAAGACAGTCACAATTCTAGGTGTCAGTGATCAAGAAAAGCTTATACTTAAATAATTCTGATCGTGATATAAAGGGCCATTGAAAGTTTGGCCTAAATCCTCGACAGAGGCAAAATGACAAAATGAATGACAGTGACAAAATGAATGCTGTTATAATCCTCTTGTGGAATTTTGGCTAGATAACTAAACCCAAATTTGGATGAACTTGGGACTTCAGCTTAGTTCCTTAGCAGGAGTGGATACTTAAATCCTTCCCTCATACTTTAAAATGACCACGTCTTTCTGTTTAAAGCAACCCTGCACTACCTCAGTCAATACAACCTGGCTTTTTATAGCGTGAGTGTCAGTATATATCCACTTTGGACTCAATCCAATAGAGTGAATACTAGGAAAATGGAAAACCTCATTATATCGCTCATTCTCACATAATTCTATACCACATCATGAATTCTGAAGACAGATTTATAGTGAGACCTTCGGGCATATCAGATTTCAGATAATTAATCTAACACTACTGTTACAAGGAATTCTTTGAAGGGAGGCAAGTGACTGAGTTGGGACCAAGGTGTTTTCTAAAATCCCACATATAAATTAACCAAACTGAAATATAATACTAATAAATTATCTCTATGACTAGAAGTGTGCTTTTTTATGAATAATGTTGAAAAGTCCAGCTAAACCTCCTCTGACTGTAGGAAATAGAATTTTAGACTTCAAAACATGATTATGGTTAAATATTAGTTCAATATTAAAGCAACTGTGCTGCTAGTTTTCACTTATGTAAAAGCAATTTGAGAATTTATTGTCACAGAATATGAAATTTTGCTTTCAGACTACATCAGAGGGAAGACAACGGCAGTAATGAGATTTATGTAGTACCAACAGAGATTAGAATTTTTACTTTGACAATTTTCATTGTTCATCACGGGTTGAAGAGTCTAATATTATACAGGCCTCTGGAATACAGTTGCTGTCTTGGGAAAATGGCAGTGTGAGAAAGGAAGGTAATGAGAACTGTCTTTTGTTGAAATTGGATGTGGAGGAAGCACTATAATCATAGACTGGAAATGGAGTCTAGAGATGATCTAAGGCTCTGTATGACGGATTCACACTGAGAGATGAGATGACTTGTGGTCATCTGGGGGCAAATATAGGTTCTAGAATTCAGTGGCTTGTTTTCACCCTTTTAATTCCTGTAAGTACACTAATAGTGGTGCTGGGAATTAGCTGGAGATAAATATTACCATATTACCATATTACTTGGTGCACACTCCAACGTTGTTTAGATTCCATTATTATCATTAAGAATGTTCCCAGTAGTGACAAAGAAATAAAAATGGTTTATTCTTGGCAGGTTTTCCAGCTCTTTCCACCACTAGAGTAGATCAAATCAATTACTTTTTTGTATTCACATAATTAATGGTGCCCTTGTGGCCCAAAGGGATGAAAACAAAGCCAGAGAATAAACAATTTATAAGATGGTCATATGGACCTTGATAGGAACCTATATTTAGAAATTTTTAAAAAGATATAGTATCTATTAAACATTATGAGAGAAAATGCATAGGATTTGAAAGTCTAAAATGAAACATCTTAGTGTATGTAAAGTCACATTACAGGAGGAGCCTAAAGTTTGTACAGCAGTCATAAATTAACTGAGAGAAGAGTGTATTAAAGATTAAACTCACACACACAATCAGTTCAAAGTTCTTTAGGTGAGATTAGAAGCATGAAAAGTTCAACGCATAGTAAATAAGATAAATACTTGCTGAGCAGATTTAATTAAGAGGGGAACAACTGTTAAAAGTATAATATTCAATGAAGTACAAAAGGTGACAAGGCGTTTGGGGCCTCACCGTTTCCGGTAGTTTTGGTGAAACTCACAAGGGTTCCTCTTGAGCATAAGGGATTCCAATGGCGTGCACCGCAAACTGGAGAGCCCAGCCAGAGTCTCAATATGGTTTTCAGCCAAGGATAAATGCTGTATCTGAGGTATCTTTGGCAATTGTTTGAAAGATGTGAGATGGTTTTTGTTCATATTTAAAACTCTGCAGCTGGATATAAAATATAAACATCCTGTCATTTGTCTCCTAAAGAGGATGGTAAACCACTAAATCTTGCAAAACACAGCATGCCTCACCTAGACCATAGCCCCTCAAAGGTGTGACAGTGATATTTTCTACAAATGTGGTTGGGAAGAAAAGAGAAATATGTATATTAAAATATTAAGAGAAAATAAGCAAGATATATAAGACTGTAAGCTTGTGTAGGGCAGGAATCTGTTTCTTTTCCCAATGTATACACTCAGTACCTGGCATTGTATTTGGTCCATGGTGGATTCTCAATAAGTCCTGAATGAAAGAGTGAAGAGCTGCATGTAATCTCAGCAATATAAAAGTTCACCCAAAGAAACATAATAACTTCTGAAGAGTATTGCCCCTAAGTAGTGAGATTCTAATTATTTTCCTTTCTTTCTCCTTTTCTGTAGTTAAATTCTATATTGAGAAATAGCATTTTAAATCAGAAAAAAAAAGGCCTTTTTGTACCAAAGAAAACTAAAAGCTATCCTTAGGAAAAGAAATGTGCGTTAGGCATTTAGGTTGAATACATTTTCCTGACAGATAATGCTTCTTCATATTTTTGCCTTAAAACTGTAATTGTATAAAACCATGCAAGTAGAGACAATAATTCCAAATCTATCACTGAAACCTTACCTGAAGGAAAAATTCCTTTATAAGCTGAGGTTTAATACCCTGAGACAGGGTACTTATTTATGAACCTCATACCCCACAAAGACATTTAGTAAATAATTATTGCTAATGGTAAATATGGTGCTAAACAGAGAAAGGACAGCCACAAAGCAGCATGAAAAACACAAATTCAGTTTGAACCCACCCAGATTTCATTGTAATTTTTCACATCCATTATTATCATTTTTCTTGTTTTCTAACATTCCCTCTCCATATGGATATTTTACAGTTTTTTAATCATATCTTTGATAACTTTAGGTTTCCAGTCTTTCCTAGGTTATACATAATCTTTATTTATTTTTTTAATAAATTTATTTTTTATTTATTTTTATTTTTGGTTGCGTTGGGTCTTCGTTGCTGCGTGCGGGCTTTCTCTAGTTGGCGGCGAGCGGGGGCTACTCTTCATTGCAGTGCGCGGGCTTCTCATTGCGGTGGCTTCTCTTGTTGCGGAGCACGGGCTCTAGGCATGCAGCCTTCAGTAGTTGTGGCATGCAGGCTCAGTAGTTGTTGCTCACGGGTACTAGAGCGCAGGCTCAGTATTTGTGGCACACGGGCTTAGTTGCTCCACGATATGTGGGATCTTCCTGGACCAGGGCTCAAACCCATGTCCCCTGCATCGGCAGGCAGATTCTTAACCACTGTGCCACCAGGGAAGTCCCTATACATAATCTTTAGATGCACGTTAGTACTATTGCAATTTCTAATTGAAAACCCAGCCCAAGCAGATCCTGTCTCTCTGTCCTCCTTGAAATCTGTTGTTTTCTCATCTGCTAGTCATTCTCTCATTTTCAGTGTATACCCTGCCACTTTCTCAGCCTCTCAGATTCACCCTACCATAGATCCTTAGTCGGATAATGTTAGGGGAGACGAGTGGCAAACCAAGTGTGGTTTTTCACCTGGGGCAGAAGGGAAGGAGGCTATGAATATACATGCATCAATTTTCTTTTCTCTTGATACACTGATTTGACAGTTGTAAAGTTTGAATTGCAATTATATAATTTTATATGACACATCCTATTTCTAAAGAAAGAAAGGCCAAAAGAATACATCTAGAGAATACTAAAACTCGGTCAAATCTTTTATTCAGTCACTGGAGTTTCTCTCTCTCTCTCTTCTTTTTTATATGATAGCAAAGATTTGGAAGTTTACTGATCTAGATCAAGTCAAGTTCACATACTCCAAATTAATGGTCTTCTAGTTCAGTGTTTCCAAAGTAGGCTATGTTACTGTTAAAATTCGTCGTTGTTGTCTGTTTATTTAAATGTGTATTAGAAAAATATAACTAATGCATCACTATTTTATCCCTAGAAGAGAGTCTGGGGAGAAAAAAAACTGAACAAATTAACATCAAGTAACTGAATAAGTTAAGGTGGCAGTGATATTAAGATTCCTCTGAAATTTTTTATTTAGGTGTTTTTAAATTTGTCATTTGAAAAGAACATTAGTAAAATCAAATGCTATCCAAGTCTGTCTAAAGTTGGGAAGGGGCTTTGAATATGACCGAAGATACCCAGGGACCATTGCATATTCTGACACTTCCTCTGTCTGCCTGACTGTTTCCCTCTCCTGTGCAACTATGATGATCTGTTTGGTTTTTTTTTAAACATCTTTATTGGAGTATAATTGCTTTACATTGCTGTGTTAGTTTCTGCAGTATAACAAAGTGAATCAACTATATGTATACGTATATCCCCATATCCCCTCCCTCTTGCGTCTCCCTCCCACCCCCCCATCCCACCCCTGATGATCTCTTTTTGTTGCCCTACCTCAGCCCAGCTCAGAGATGTATCTTAACCTGCTCTGGGATTTACCCTTCCTTCTTGTGGCTGCTTGATTTCCTTCATCTCCTAATTCTCTTCTGAGAACCTCTGTCTGCCTCTCTGATGGCTACCAGAGCTCACTCCAGCTACCCATCTGCCTGGTGAAGCAAAGGGCAGCTCGCCACAGAGTTCTCAAGCAATCCTGAGCAAAGAGACAGATTATCTTTAACTTCAGTAGCTTAGGGTCCTTGGAATATCAAGGAGGCCATATAAATTTTAAAATTTTTAGTTTGTTTTTGTCACTGTTCTGATTGGCAACCCCTACCCCTCCATTAGAATGTGACCCTGAAGCCAAGACTCTTGTCAACTACCTGTAGAGTCTTTCCCCACAAGTGTTCAGACAATATGACAAAAAATCACTAACTTAGAATGATAATGTATATATAATGTAATTGTATTTCCAGTTGACAATGCAAGGAACACAGCTGGCTTTTCTGCCAATATGTTCTATGATTACAAATTACTCCCTTAATAATTGATAATAACAGTATTAATTTGACAAAGAATATATTTTTTCCTCTAAAGTGTGACATTTTGATTTATAAATTTCCCTTTTTGCCTTGCCCAGGCATCGCTTAGCACTCTCACTAAGACCTGACCACATGCGAGGAGCCACAGTATGAACAGACAATGGTCACGTACCCATAGAGCAAAGACTTCACTTTAACTTAGTAATTGGACATGCTAGGGAGCAGATACCTTGGCAATCTTGCGGCACTTAAATCCACCAGTGAATTATCCACTAACCAGAGGGTTTCAACTCGAATTAGTCTTCTAAGAATCCTGTTAAAATTTGCAACTTGATAAGGGTCCCCCAAATCCTGAAATGAAAGGTTCAAATTCTGAAGGAAAAACAAATAAAAAGAAAAAGCAAGTGCTTTATCAACTTTTAAAAATAGTTATTAAATTAATATGTGTTGTATATTTAAACCAGCAGTTTTTACTATTTTGTTTTTTGGTCTTCTAAAATATTCACACATCCAAACACAAAATTATTGCAGAGCTTCTCAAGGTAGGGAGGGAAGGTGAAGATCCTGACTGGATCCTGATTAGAATTACACACAAGGTTGGTGGGGGGGGTGTATCAGGGAGAGAGGGAAAGACCCTCAAACAGATTCTGAAACTTCTAGGGGTAAAACTTCTAGGGGTAAATTACTTCTAGGGGTAAAAAGTAGAGGAGGTAAAGTTCTGTTTGGCTTTAAATGATTAGTTATCTTTAGCCTCCTTGGAAATACTCAGAAATCACATTTATATACATTTCAGAGTAAGATACCATCATTCAAAAGATGGAAAATATGATTTTATTTAAAAATAACCTGGGATACATACATAAGGATGACTTGGCATATTTCAGAGATAGTGGGTATTTTATTTTTACTTTTAACATCAGTCAACTTTGATCTCTTTTTACACGAGCCTCTCACCGCTGTGGCCTCTCCCGCCGCGGAGCACAGGCTCCGGACGCGCAGGCTCCGCGGCCACGGCTCACAGGCCCAGCCGCTCCGCAGCATGCGGGATCCTCCCAGACTGGGGCACGAACCCGCGCCCCCCACATCAGCAGGCAGACTCTCAACTGCTGCGCCACCAGGGAAGCCCCAACTTTGATCCCAAGGAAGTTAAAACCACTCTCAGTGGTAGCATTGCTCTTGTAAACTCTATTGCTAAAAGTCAACTTAAATTTTTGTTTCCAAAGTTTTACCATCAATTTCTGTGAATAGAAATTATTGCATAAAATGACATTTTTTAAAAAAATTGAAGCAAAATAATTTACTATTTTAGGGAAATATCAATATCTATCTAAAAAGATAAGGTCTTGATATTTTTAGACATTAAACATTATAAAATTTGTTACTTTAAATTTTATTTTCCCAAAATATAAAAGGTCTTAATTTAAAATAAAACCAAAGAAATATTAAGATATTATATTTATCATTTCTACATTAAATATCACCTTCTCAAATAGAATTTTTTGACCACTATTTCCCAGTAAGGTTTTCTGTGATAGTTTAAAGTTTATTTAGCCATTCTCTGCCAGTATAGTTATCTAAAGGCCAGTTAAACTTTCTATGATAGTTTATTAGGAAGGTTCCATTGGCCTTTACAATATATCCATGGTTTAAATGACAGCTATAAAGAACGAATGCATGTATACACTGGAATGATTACCTCTAAAAAGAATCCTGGGAGTGGAGGTCAAAGTTTTAAGTGTATTGTTTAAATTTTTCAAATAAATAAATAGGAGCATTGTTTAAATTTTTAAAGAGTAGAATGTATCCATCCATTATATAAGAATAATTAAAATTAATTTTAGAAAGAAAACACTGTACTGGGAAACAATATTCTATTTTCCTGTCTTCTGCTAATTAGCTGTGTGACCTTGGGCAAATCATTTCTCTTTCTAAACTTTCCTTTCCTTTTTGAAAGGAAGGAGTTGCGACCAGACCCTCCCTGAAGCTCCTTCCCACGCCCTAATTCTATAATCCTACAACATACAAGATCAATCTGTAAAACAAAAAGGGCAACAGGAGATCCCAGTAAGTCTCATTTGGGGAAGATTTCCTAAAATCCTCACGTACAATTTGATCACTTCGAAGAAAAAATATTGACATCTTACTCTGCTATAAAGAAGTTGATTTATTCTTTTATTGCTACCAATGGCTTAGTCTTCCCAGTTAAATCTTCAGTCCTCTGCTTAAACATGACTTGCTCCAACTGGAATTAGAAGCTTGAGTGATGGCAGCCCCATAGATTGGTAGTGGTCGGGCTAACTACAGGGACTGTTTCAATGCCAGTGGCTCAGCCAGCGGAGTCATTTTCAGCACCAAGAAACCACAGCTCATATCCTTCACTGGTGAAAGTTTGATTTGTTCCAGGATAGCTCTGTTCAGACCCAACTGGCTGCCCTGAGTCTTCAAAAATTTTGGCTTACTGCATTGTTCAAAGGATTCAAGATTGCATCATAAATTCTCTCATAAGGATTATTGTTCAATATTTGACTTTTTTATTATCAAAAAAACCCAATTTCATTCTCAATTCTTTTAAACTTTTTCCAAAGTTCAGCAATATCAAGATAAAATAAAGATTAGAAAATAAGTAGCAAGTCTTGATGAAGAGAAGGGATGGAAAAAGAGATGGAGAGCCCAAACACCACTATTTTCAGAGAAAGTTCTAAAGATGTGCTTAAAGTTTTGATGTTTATGCTGGCAAAAAAAAAAAAAAGTGTTGTAATTTAATCAATGAGGGAAATAGGCTTTTTTTTCCTTCTTCTGTTTTTATGTTCTCACCTTGCAGTCCTCCCAGTTTTCTTGCAGCCATGTTTCCCATTTGTTTTTTTCAAGGACTCTTTTCCGTGGAGGCAAGGTACACTCCTGTCTGAAGAACAACTCTTCCGCAGAGGGTCCTGAGCAGAAATCACAAGGTGAGATCTTGGAAGTAGGTTTAGGAAGACAGGATTGACAGCCTCACTGGATGCTTGGCCGGTTGTTTTAAACTTCCACTAGATATTTGGATTGAGGGAGACAGGATTGGACTCTTAGGCCCAATTAGTGTGAGCAGTAACAAAATGTATTTATGCGACTTAACACACTCTTGCTTGCCTGCCTTAACTGGGTTGGGGAAGAGATGGGAACAGAAAAGATGCCAGGACTTGACCACTTTGTACACTTTCTAATTGTTGAAAATCATTTTCCCTGAAATTTGCTGAATAACTTTCCTCTCATGTCTTCCAAACAAAACAAAGTGAAACCTCTGATTTGAGAACACTAAATCAGATGTGCAGGTATGACAAGAGTAAATTAATCACGAGATGATTGTTAAATATTTAAGCCACCCAGTTCCTTTGTTTCTCTTCCTGCCGCAGGAAGCCTTGTGGCATTTCTGATGGGCTGACTTCCTAGGCCCTCCCATCACAGGATGAGTTATACAAGAGAGAGGAAATAGCAAACAAATCAGCAAGTTTATTCTTTTCCATCTGTTTTACTTTTTTTAAGTTTACAGTAGAGTGAATACAGTTATCAGAAAAAAAAATAGGGTTGCAGATTATTTTAATTTAAATTGTTCACAAGTTTGCTATCTATGGTCTAGGTTTCCACAGAGGATCAAATGTCAGCTTTAGCTTAAATTCTCACCTATAGATTTCTTTTTAAATGCAGTTTAGCACATTGCTAGGAAAAATGTCCTGGCTAAAATATATAATATCTGTATTCTTTATTAGACTCTTTAATTCTGGGCAAATATTTTGAGGTTCAGAGATAATTTGATGATTTTCTAGAGTGATTAAAGGGGAGGAATGACCTCTATTAACTGTTCGGAAAAGTCAACATGTAGAGTTAACTTTTAATCTTACATAAATTACTTCTAGCCCAGGCAAGTGAGAAAAATCATCAGTATAATGGTTTTAATTTTCATATAATTTTCTCTTTAGGGATTATGAAGTCACTCCTGACTTTCTTTCTCTTTTGTCTCTCAATGCAGTTAGCCACCTAGTCCTACCAGTTTTCCCCTTGAGAACCTATCCCTTCCCTTTCAATGTCCAGACCTTCATATCTTGCTACCTGAACCGTAACTACTTTCTCTTGGATCTCCTGGTTTGCAGTCTTCTCTCCTTCAACATAAATGACACAAATTGCCACCCAGCTCTCGTAAAACACAGCTTTTACAACAGGACTGACATATTCAAAACATTTCAGGTTTCTTATTGCTTACCAAATAAAGATGAAAAAGCCTAGTTCATCAGGCAAGGTTTTCTACTATCTTATCCCAATCTCCATTTCCAAACTCATTTCCTACTATTTTCCAACCGCATTGTGTTCCAAATCGGGTTTGCACATAACTTCCAGGGTTAGGGAAAGGATATCTTGTTTCCAGTCTGGAGTTAAGTAGCAGGTACTTGTGTGACTCCAGATGATTAATTTTAATTTTCGGAGCCTCGGTTTTCCAAGTTTGCAAAAATATGGGGAAGACTAGCATCAAGGGCCCCTCAAGGGCTGAATTTGGTGAGAAATTATGTTTGAAGTTGATAATGTTTTATAAAAAATACTGATTTCTAATACTTTTACACCAACATAGGCTTCTTATTGCCATAGACCCCTACACTCTTCTCATGCAACCCCAGGCAAACTTCATTCAGCTCTGATGCCAACCAAGGCCCCTGACAGCAATCCTAAACTAAATGATTTCAATTCCCTTCAAACTCTAATATATTGTATTTCTTGAGTCAGACCTGGCACCATTTTTACCCCTTTCCCCCCAACTTCATTTTTCTGGAATTCATGATTCCCCTAATTTCAAAGGTGAAAAGAGCATAGAAAAGATATTGAAGGTATCAGGAACAAACTTTGCTTTTGTGGCAAGTTCATCTGGACTGTGATGGGAGATAATGAGTCTGTTTGTGAAGGATTTATGGAAGGCGATAAGAGCAACAGTCCAATATTCCATTATTGACAAAAACATCAGTTTTTTCATCAGGCACAGGTGGAAGCCAAGAATCTAACCTGTCCTTTTAGACATTTCTCTCATAACAAACTGTAATGTTGCCACCCAGGGAATCACTTACCCCTGAAGGTGGTAGTGTCCCAATCACTTTACAAATAAAATATCCTTGTGCTAGGAAATGATCTTGTTCATTGATTAGGATGATTGGAGTTAAAAGTTGTAGAACTGGAAAAACTGGAACCATCACCTAATTGACTGGGGAGATTTATTGTCTTTAATACCCCCCCCCAAATTTGGTGGCTTTCTTTGTGCAACAGATGCCCCAGAGTTATTAAACTCTGCCCTGTATTGTTTGTTTGAGTTCTATCGATCTTCTGTTCTTTCAATTATTTCTTTCTAAAGCAGCTTTCAAAGATTTCTTTGAAGTCGGAAGCCGAAGGTCTCTTCCACTGTGAGGAGTTCTATTAAATTGGATTCTTTTTTTTAAACTCAGACCTGGTTGATAATTGAAGATATATCTTAGCAGCTGAGAACTGAAGTCTGGAATATCTGGCAGCCCAGGGATGTTGGCTTTCACCTGCCATCTCTGAGCTTGTTCTTTGTCCCCTCCCTGGATTAGTAACTCCTAACAGCAGTGACTGAATTAACTTGCTGGGAGATTTTCAAACAGAAAGAATCTATTCTCTAAAAGAATTCTGCCAACAGTTTGCTCTTTTGCTTCGTTTAACTGGGAGGAGTTAAGTCCGTCTCTATCTGGCAATCAAAGCCTTGGGAAATTGCTGTTTATCACACACCAGCTAACCTTTCTTTTCTTAGGGACTCTTTCTGGATGTACAGTTTGAGCAACTGAGATCAACTGAAGTAGTCTTATGGGTGTTTCAGGATCTAATCTAGAAAGAGGGCCATTCTTACCAGAATGCTTCTGAAATGCACTTGTTCTCCATCTCACAAAAAAAAAACCCCAAAAACAAAGCAAAAAAACCAAACACTTCAACAAAATTTAGGGCAACAAACAAAGGACATCTATTTTCGTCACGGTTTGAGGTGGTGGGATTTTCCACTGTTTCCCATCCCCTAGATCATGCTCCATTCTTTTTACCACTTGCAAGAGAATGGGTGTTGTTAATGATTTGTAGAAGGAAAATGTGCCTTCTCTCTGCAGAGCAATGATAGCCTCTGCATAAATGGCTAGCATGGTCATCACGAAGGCTCGGTTTGCTGAGTGACGACCTCGGGGCATGACTTGGCTGCTTAAATCAGGGAAGGAGGGAGACCACAGGACTCTTTACACATGCTCATTTTCAGTTTACACCTAGATTTTATTCTTCTGTCATCTCTTCCAGTTTCTTCAGTTCTACAGTTCTCTCTAAACCTCAGCTCTTCACCTGTGCTCCAAAGCCTCGTTGTGCTTGCACAATTATCAACCACTCCCCTCACACACACTTACACACACACACACACATGCACGTGCATGCACGCGCATATAAATGCCAACACCCTTACTTTCTCAAGTTTTCACTTCCTATTCAAATTTCTTCCTTTCCTGCCTCTCCCCAAGCCCCCTAAACCAATGTTTCCCATAGCATGGCCCTCAGATCATCTGCAACAGAATTGCCTGTGATAATTTTAACAAATGCAGATTCCAGGGCCCCACTCCAGACTAACTATATCAGATTATTTGGGCATGCTGCCTGGGAATCTGTGTTTACCACATGCTTCCAGGTAATTTGTCCGTACACTGAAGTTTAAGAGCCAATTAAACCCTGCCTTCGTTAGCCCCTGATGTAACCCTTTCTCTTTCTTTTGCTGATGAACTCTATGCCTGTGACACACATGGCCTCCACGGCCTCTGGTCTCCTTCCTTCCTAATTCCCCATAATTTCTTTTTTATTATTTATTTATTCATTTAAAAAATTTTTTTACAGTAGGCCCCTGTTATCTATTTTAAAAATAGAAGTGTGTACATGTCACTAATTCCCCATAATTTCTTGCTCTTTGAAAAATATTCTAAGTTCTCCAAAGGGAAGTTCTAATTTACCTCTAATAGTACTATCTAATAATATTTTGTTATTATAAAATAAATTAATATAATATAAATCATTATAATATAAAATAATGTTTTCTTACATAAGCCAGTGCTTAGCTGCAAATAGATATGGCAGAGTTAAAACGTAAGAAAGAAAATGATATTATTTTAATCACTCTTTGTCAATTGAGTTTGAGTGAAAGAAGAAAGACATTGGTGGGTAAAGTAATGCAATGGAGTGGGGAAATGGGCAGATGAGTATATCTAAAGCAACTTTTCTTAAATCAATATTACAATTGTACGATAGACAATGTATCTGCAAGTTTGCAAATACAGATATAAGGTAGCCAAGATACTTGATGTTTTGTAAAGAATAAATACTCACTGCAGCACGAATTATGTCTAATATTATTTCATCAGCTTATGGGGGATGCAAAAGAGACAAGAGAAACGCACACTCTCTGCCCTTACACAACTTATCTATTGAAGCTACTTATAGAAATCAAACATTATGTATACTGGGGCTGCAGATAAAAAATTCTTCATACTGTCACACCAGTACACTTGTAAAATCTGATAGGATGAAAAAGGAATAGTAAAACATTGGTTATTTTACCAAATTTTAAATGCTTAGTGAACATACTAATGAGACTACCTGGTTTATTTAGATTATTTTTTACGCTTTTTAAAAAACCGATGTAGGATTAATCAGCTTAAAGGCATCCACTGAAGTGACAGTGTTATTCATGACCATAAAATTCCAACAAAGATCATTGGTTAAGTAAAGTTAATAATATCCTTATGATGGAAAGATCTGCAACTTTTAAAAAACTTGTTTGGGGTAATGTTAAATAACATGGCGGAAAGAAAGACTCACAATATAAACTGAAAAAACTCAAGAAACACAGTTGTTCACATAATTTTGTAAAGAAATATATACATGCTTTTCAAAAAAAGACTAACTGGAAATAAAAGTCACAGTGACTATTTCTGGATAATTGAATTACAGGTTCTTCTTTCTCTATTTTCCAATATTTAATACTGAACATTTATTATTTATATAATCAGCTATAAGAATATACTTTTAAAGGTGGCTTCACTATATTAACAACTCTATGGTCTTGAAACGGGAAATTTTTCTACCTGCAAGTAATACAGGTTTTTAATCCCCAAGTAATGTCTTGTGATCCTCAAAAAACATCCACTAGGAGCATGTACGCAAAGACCACACACTTCTGTTCCTTTACCTTCTCTTACTCTTGGGCAACGCAGTTGACTTCCTTGGATGTCATTTTGTTCTACCTTGTGCCAAGTAAGGTACTTAAAAGAATCTGATGGAAGCTTTAAAATAAGAGAGAAGAGAAATATCATCTGGCAATATATAGTTCACTTACTTTTATGGGTGCAAGTAATGCAAACCCATCCCAAACATTCAGCCAAATTGAACTCCAATTACCTAATGGTGTGCTCATAAACGTTATCTTAGTCCAATCTAAATTATGTATTATTCAACTTTGCATCTCCAACACCTGCAACTGATTTATGTTTGATGACAAATGACAGCAGAAATAAATATATTACCCATTCATGAACCCATTTTACACCACCTGTGATAAACTGTCCTTTAATATTTATTGAATAGCTCATAAAGAATCTCATTCCATTTTAGAAGAGTTGTAATTGTTAATGGCTCTTCATTATATGGACCCCAAGTAATCCCTCTAAGTTAGTCCAGTTGTACAAGTTCTGCCTTTTGAGGCTACACAGAAGAACCCCTCCACATGTGACTACTATTTTAAGTGTTTGGTAATAGTTGTCATCTTCTTTGTCATTTAGTTATTACTCACAGATCATGGTTTACAAATTATTAAATATCCAGGGAAAACATGGTTCTCCTTGGGAAGAGTTCCATTTTATTGACATTGCTCTTAAAATGTGTAGCCAGTATTGAATGAAATATTTCAGGTCAGGTCATCTTCCTTTTCTGGACAGTATATTACTGACCAGAATATGTGCCAAGATCACATCTAGGGCAATTTTATGTTGTTTACTATTACTGAGGTTGTAATCAATCAAAATTCCTGTATTTTACATAGCTTATGATAGTTTCAAGGTCAACACAAACAAAAAGGCATATTACTCAGAACGGAATATTATGTTAAATACATACGCCATAGATTCATTCTTCTGTTAGCCAGTGTTATGCACATATATAAATGAAACCGGAATATTTGATTTGAAGAAATGTCATTACAATATTTGGAACAACTGCATTCGTTTCACAGAGCAGCATTTTGCGTAGTTTATGCTTTGCTTGAGCTGTACATTTGTTTGACTGATACTAACATGAAAAACATTTCCACCATTAAATAAGCTTATGAGGCTCTGGATTAAACCGAACTAAGCATTTCTCTTACTACAGGACTTCTCTGAGCCTTTAGTATCTTAGCATATATTGTGAGTCTGTACTACAAAGTGTTCCCCTGGACTTTTAAACCATAGAACCTTTTATTCTTAGAGCAGCACATGGGACTAGTGCATCCTGTAAAGCAGAATTTGGGAAAAGCTGTCTCAAAATAAATTGTGAAGAGGTGGCTTTTTAATAATCAGTTAGCTTTGATCTTTTACTTCATTACTTCACTGAATGACCTTAGTTGTTCCATAAATATTTCAATATCTTCATTTTAAAAATAACAAAAGCTCTCTACGTCATTAAGAGCAACTTTAAAAAGTTAATTAGGGCTTCCCTGGTGGCGCAGTGATTGAGAGTCCGCCTGCCGATGCAGGGGACACGGGTTCGTGCCCCGGTCCGGGAAGATCCCACATGCTGCAGAGCAGCTGGGCCCGTGAGCCATGGCCGCTGAGCCTGCACGTCCGGAGCCTGTGCTCCGCAACGGGAGAGGCCACAACAGTGAGAGGCCCGCGTACCGCATAAAAAATAATAATAATAATAATAAATTAAATAAAATAAAATTAAAAAACAAGAAGCACAAATACATTTCAGATTATTGAAAAATGTAGTCTCTGGCCCATTCTTGGTTGTTCAGTTTACATGTTTATGGAAGCTTCTTTCCCAACCTGTTATGTGCTTTTGGAATTTTTTGCTTGCTCCTATCATAGAATAAAAATTTCTTAGAAGTTAAATTTCCTGTAGTTGCCACACCCCATTTACCTTTTGGCGCTATTTCATGAGACTCTTGCTGAGAAAGGATCTAAGCTAAAGCTGTATTTGAGAATAAAGTTTCCATTTTTCAATTGACATCTAATTTTATACAAAAACGTGTCTTTTTTTTAAACTCTTTCATCTTATTTTATTTTTAAAATTGCATCCATCCTTTAATATTCATTGCAAATGCTGCCTCCTCCATTTTTAAAATTTATTTATTTTATTTATTTATTTTTGGCTGCGTTGGGTCTTCATTGCTGTGCTCGGGCTTTTCTCTAGTTGCAGCAAGCCGGGGCTACTCTTCGTTGCGGTGCGTGGGCTTCTCATTGCAGTGGCTTCTCTTGTCGTGGAGCATGGGCTCTAGGCACACGGGCTTCAGTAGTTGTGGCATGCAGGCTCAGTATTTGTGGCACACGGGCTTAGTTGCTCCAAGGCATGTGGGATCTTCCTGGACCAGAGCTCGAACCCGTGTCCCCTGCATTGGCAGGTGGATTCTTAACCACTGCACCACCAGTCCCTGTTTGTTTTTGAAAGGAGTTATGAGGTTGATTTTGGGATTTCTGACATTGTAGGAAAATGAGCCTTTGCATTTCTTGTTTATATCTATGTAAGGCTGTCAGTGTGTTGCAGTTCTGTGACCGTTGTTTCTTCTTAAAGGAATAGTGAATATTGTGTCTTACCCTGTTCTTTTTTCTTTTTTAATTCTGATGGACCAATTGATTAATCCATTTGTTCAATAAATATTTTTGAATATTTTGAATTTCAATCCATTCATTTATTCACAAATATATATTGTACCCTTGCTATGTGTCAGGCACTCTGTCAGACACTGAGGATACGAAGTTAAATAAAATATGGCATTTGTGCTTGAAAAACTCATTTTCTGTAATTTGGGAGGCAGACATATAAATAACTCATTTTGATCCAGTGGGATGAGTGGAACAATTTTGAAAGAAGGAAAAGAGAAAAGGCCTGGTTGATTCCACTTAGATGTGTTAGAGAGAAGTCTTGGAAGTGGTGAGTTTACGAGGAGAAAATTTGGCCAAAGGACATTCCAGAAAGAAAGGAGATAAATCTTAGACTAGGGACAGAATTTGAACTCAGTGGGGGAAAGGAAGGGACGCCATTTTTGTTTCTCTGGTCATTTATCTTTTCTACTCATCTTGGTCTCTTTTGTCTTCCTTCCTCCACCTCAGATTCTTTCCCTTGCCTCTTTGAGTTGGGACTGAGAGTACCAACCTTTTATTTTCCCCCCAATTACAAGGATAGGTTTAATACACTTATTAAAAGTTTATACACTTATTAAAATACACTTATTTAATAAGTGTATAAAGTTTATACACTTATTAAAAGTGTATTATACACTTATTAAAAAGTGTGAAATCCAAGGTAAAACACATTTTTAAGCTTATCATTAGGTAAAGGGCTAATCAAAAATATTTACCAGGGATGATATTCCAGAGTCCGAACGTGAATAAAAAGTTCTGTTCCTCAAGAGAGCCGAGCCAGTGTGTGACTCACTCAGGTCGGAGGTGTAGGATGAATTAGATGGGTGAATCTCCTGACTGCTTGTGTTTTGACCTGAAGAGCTGAATGAAAGAAAATGCTTAAAGTCTTTAAATGTAAATACCTTTGTATAAAACAACAATAAACAAATTATAAACACCAACTTTTCCAATTAGAGGAGAGAGAAAAGATACCCCAGGAATTCTGTCATAGTCCTACACACATTTTTTTATGGCTAACAGTCACTTAAGACAAATTCTCTCCCAAGGTAAGGGTGTCTACATAGATTGCAGATCTTAGAAAAGTAAATCTAATGGTACACACGAATACATGCTTATGGGATATGAACGAGAAAGTCAGCCCCAGTTTTGGAATATCATTCCTAGTAGAGCTATCATTGCAGATTTGGTACAAACAAGCCTTAAACTCCATACTGGTTTTTCCATTGATCTGGACCTTCCATTTTCCCTGAAATTTCCCTGAAATTGGTGGCAAACATATTAAAAATTCAAGTTCTTTAATCAATTTTACTCACTTTGAAATAATATTAAAAAATTTCACTTAACAACAGTCCAGTTCTCTCTGTATTCCCTTTGTTATGCCACTGGGATATAAAATGTCTTTTTTGCTCTCCTATGTTTATTATTCACTGTTATTCTTGCACTTTTCCCTTTCTCCTTAGCAATGATTATATGTTTCTCTTTCTGTCATTGGTGCTATATAGTATTTTAAGCCAATTAAAATATATCTAAATATGCTTTTTCATGTTAAGTAAAACTAAAAATTGTATCTATTTCTGACCTCTTTTTACTCTTTGGGGATCATTTTTCAGACTCCAAGAATCTTAAGAGACAGCATTCTGTATTTATGACACAGTTATTATGTAGCTCTACAGCAATTTTACTTACAAGAAACTGACACTTCTTGTATATTGAAGTTGCCTTCATGAAGTACAATGTAAAAATGTTTTTCATTTTTCATTCATTAACTGATGTGCTATAGTAGAAGAGCATAGCCATTACATCATTTCAAAAAATAGCACTACTGTGCCATTAAGAAAATAAAACTGTGTCCTATTATCAAGGAGAAAATTATTCCTCCATCTGCTACTAAATAACAAATCAAAGACTTTGTCTCAGTTATGTGAAAAAGTCAGAAAATATATGCCTTTCAGTTCTTTTACACTTGAGCAATTCTTTAATAATTTGGATACTGTTTCTTGACATTACCAAGGAATACCTTACCATAACAACAAATTAACAAACATTAGAAGAACAACATTACATTGTGCAAAATTTATTATTCCTGAGGCAGGTAAATCCTACTATTTATGACCAGAGTTTTGGCCAACAATCAGGGAGAAAAAAATGGGGCAAAATGGAACAATATTTCAGGGGATGAACAGAGGATAAAAGTTGAACTGACTTTTTGGGTTCACTTGTCTTTATGAAACTATGCTAGCCATTTTCTGCCAAAATGAAATCAGGAAAATAAGGGTAATGAACATGACTGAATCTTTCTTCAGTGACTGGTGTTCTGTGATTCTAAACTTCAGTGGTGGTTACACAGTGATGAGAGGCTGACTTGTAAGTGTGAGAAATGGTCTTATTTTGCTTAAAGCAGAGAACAGGGGGAAAAATAAGTTCACATAACCAAAATATCTGATGAGAGAGATCCGGCTGATTGGGTTTTCAGTACACTTTTCTTGTGTAGTGCTACAAGACCAAGCCCAACAGCTTCAAGGTAAAATCACGTTTACAGGTAACTGAAAATTATCTCATCATCTTAGTTTACATTAGCAGATTTGAGAGTTTAACTTAGTACTTGCGCCATTACCCTGACTACTACTAGACATTTATGAATAATAGAAGGTAATTAAAACTTCAGTAACACAAGTACATACGCAAATAACATGCCCACTATTTCTTTTTCTCTTTTTTTTTTTTTCCTGCCAGAATGGAATGAATTGAATTTGGTGTAGAGTTTCAGCTAAGGACAGATGATCTGAGAAGATTCTAACCAGTAGATGACTAGTCTGACTCTCTTTCAGTGTGATATCTTTTTGTGGGTCCCAAAGGCTGGATTCCTTCTCTCACATTCATACACGCTTCCTGGGCGCCACACCAGAGGGCAGTGGTGAAGGGCAGTATTCTGGAATCTTGCAGTAAAACCTTTGGGACATTCTGAAAATCTTCTTTGTTCCATTACTTCTATCTTAAATTCCATACGGAAGTTCTCTTTGGTCTGCTTTTTTGGGGAGAAATATCAGCAAAGAAATATAATTTCTGATCCTTTAGTTTAAAAAAAAGAAAAGGTAGATCACCCTCAAACTTCTACTCCATCTGCTTTAATGCACACATCACTGATGTCAAAACTGCAAGACCTGTGAGTCTTAGGAATCTACAAACAGCTACTGCTGTGACCTCAGGTCACTTAGCACCTCTGGTGGTTCCTTACCTTTAATATTCAGAAGATGATGTGGACTCTGCCTGAGTGAAAAGGTTTTCTGTTTTGTTTTGCAACATTATTGCCATGATGACAACTATTACTAATATAATAATTTTACAGTTAACATTTCTTGAGCACTTGCTATGTGCTAGGCATTGTACTAAGAACTTTACGTCGATTAACTCATTTAATCATTACAGTCACCAAACAAAGTGGGTAGCATTATTATTTTGATTTTAGAGATGAGGAAATTGAGGCCCAGAGAGGTGGCATAACTTGCCCAAGTCACACAAGTAAATGACCAAGTGTTCTTAATTACTAGGGTTCAAATAAGATTCAGATAAGCTACTGTGATTCTTTAAATAACTGTAAATCTGTATCATTTATTAGGGTGCAGTTGTTAGTAAGGAAAATCATTAATATTGATCTTTCTTATTCTGATTGCTCCACTTAACTACAGGTAAATAATTTACTAGTTAATAGAACATGTAAATCTTAGCACTGACTGTTTACTGAGGTAAGCCTTTAATAGTAGAACCTATGAGAACACCATTCCAGATAACATCAAGCTGTTTTTAAAACCCTCTCCTCTTGCCCCTCCCCAAAAGAAAATAAAGCTAGACTTGCAGTTTAGTTGGTATATTGGTTTACTCATTTTTAATCTTTCTGCCTGCAGTGAACAAACAGTTATCATAAATTACAACTCTAAATCCTTATGAAAGAGAAATTAATTTTATTAATGCTGTAGTATAAAGCTGCCACAGAGGAGGTGCCATGGCTAAAACTGTACATTTGTCAGGAGTAACTTATAGTGTCTTTAAATTAGGTGGTATTATCTGAATTGGCCATCTATTCTTGGTTTTAAAAAGTGTAGAATGGCCAACAAGAAGGAATCGGGTGAGCTGAGACTGCAGGATGAAAAACAATAATAATATAATCTATTAATTCATGAGCCCCTTTCATTGGAAGATTGCAATGTCCTTTACAAACAGGAATTTATAAGCCTCATAAATTGTCGGCTGCAACAGGGTGCTATCTGTTTAATTCAAATGTCAAGTTGGTGATTATGTAGCTTTGTAAGGAGAGTGAAGGAGAAAGTGGCAGATGGCCTAGTTTCTGAGGTGAAGCCGAGCTCTTGAGGTGCGGGAGGCTATATTGGACACACACCAACCAGAAGGCCAGAGGGCACCTTACAGACACCCAGCATTGTCTAAATTGCATTGCCTATGATTCCATTTCTAAATGTTCCATTTACATTCAGTGCTGCATCATGAGAGCTTTGTATTTCGAAAGGAAGAAAAAGCTAAATCATATTTTTCAGTTAGCAAAGGACACTCCCCAAATCCTCAAATGCTCTCTTTCTCCTCCCAAAATATTGAGCCAGGTTCTCAAATCTAGTGGAATCTTGCTAAACCCAGGCACTTCGTAGGTTACTGGCTAGAGGAAAATTACCACGGACTCTAGAGCATTAAATTTGGGTGAAAGGAGATATCAATCCAGCCTCTTTGATTTCTTTCACCATTCTTCTTATCTTTTAAAATCCAGAATCCCTGTCCTCTCTATGTCTATATTTAAATGTATTCATTTGTAAAACGGGTGATGATTTTACTATCTGCATGCTAGAGATGGTGATGAGATAATATAAAGTACTCGGAAAGGAAGTTTCACAAAATCAAGAAGTAATTTGGTATCATAATGTGTTAGTTTCTGGAATGGCAGATTTGGTATACCAAGTTATTATGTTCCAATTTGGGATGGCTCTAAATTAATTTCCCAGAACTAAACCCATAAATTGAGTAAATAATCATATAGCAGTGAACTGTTATAAAAAACCGTGTGTTTTACAGATATCCCTCAAATTTTAGTATCCAAGGCCCAGATTGTAACAGATATATCTGAAATTATTTAGATTGTTGATTCTAAAAACATAGCACAACTAACTGTAATTTTGAAAAATATACAACTAAAATTATCATTTCTCTATTTCTATCTGAATGGGTCAGGTTTTAATCTTATGCAACGTTGTATTCTTATGAATTTTGCTTTTCCCTGTTGTTCCAACCCCATGTGCATTCTTAGAAACACAAATAGGTCCCCACATTAAGGTACAACAAAAGTAAAAGAACAAACATGTATCAAACTTCTCTAGAGGGAAAGCTTGTAAACTTCAGTACCTATTAGTGGGTTCACTGATATATAGAAATAAGAAGTTATATTAAAATACCAAAAACAATGAAGATAGACTGAGATACCTCTATGTTCCATTAACAAAATTATATTTAGAAATTCTTAGAACTTTATTGTAACCACATATATAGCTGTTATTTAGAAGATTCCCAATACTTAAGAATGTTTTACTATAGAAACTATAGATCAATGGAACAAGATAGAAAACCCAGAGGTAAACCCACGCACCTATGGTCAACTAATCTATGACAAAGGAGGCAAGGATATGCAATGGAGAAAAGACAGTCTCTTCAATAAGTGGTGCTGGGAAAACTGGACAGCTACTTGTAAAAGAATGAAATTAGAACACTCCCTAACACCATACACAAAAATAAACTCAAAATGGATTAGAGACCTAAATGTAAGACCGGACACTATAAAACTCTTAGAGGAAAACATAGGAAGAACACTCTTTGACAAATATCACAGCAAGATCTTTTTGATCCACCTCCTAGAGTAATGGAAATAAAAACAAAAATAAACAAATGGGACCTAATGAAACTTCAAAGCTTTTGCACAGCAAAGGAAACCATAAACAAGACGAAAAGACAACCCTCAAAATAGGAGAAAATATTTGCAAACGAATCAATGGACAAAGGATTAATCTCCAAAATATATAAACAGCTCATGCAGCTCAATATTAAAAAAAAAACAGCCCAATCCAAAAATAGACATTTCTCCAAAGAAGACATACAGATGGCCAAGAAGCACATGAAAAGCTGCTCAACATCACTAATTATTAGAGAAATGCAAATCAAAACTACAATGTGGCAACACCTCACAACAGTTAGAATGGGCATCATCAGAAAATCTACAAACAATATATGCTGGAGAGGGTGTGGAGAAAAGGGAACCCTCTTGCACTGTTGGTGGGAATGTAAATTGATAAGCCACTATGGAGAACAGTATGGAGGTTCCTTAAAAAACTAAAAATTGAATTACCATATGATCCAGCAATCCCACTACTGGGCATATACCCAGAGAAAACCATAATTCAAAAAGACACATGTACCCCAATGTTCATTGCAGCACTATTTACAATAGCCAGGTCATGGAAGCAACCTAAATGCCCATCGACAGATGAATGGATAAAGAAGATGTGGTACATATATACAATGGAATATTACTCAGCCATAAAAAGGAACGAAATTGGGTCGTTTGTAGAGATGTGGATGGATCTAGAGACTGTCATACAGAGTGAAGCAAGTCAGAAAGAGAAAAACAAATATCGTATGTTAGTGCATATATGTGGAACCTAGAAAAATGGTACAGATGAACCAGTTTGCAGGGCAGAAATTGAGACACAGATGTAGAGAACAAACGGACGGACACCAAGGGGGGAAAGCTGCGGGGGGGTGGTGGTGGTGGTGTGATGAATTGGGAGATTGGGAGATTGACATGTATACACTGATGTGTATAAAATGGATGACTAATAAGAATTGCTGTATAAAAAAACAATAAAATTAAATTAAAAAAAGAATGTTTTACTACTCCCTATGTTGTTATAATTTTGAAAATTCAACCACATACAACACTACAAAGGAAGAATATAGACACTAAAGGACAACATATGATTAGGTAGATCTTGTGAACAGAAACAAAACTGTAATAAAATTCCAAATGAAAGTGACAGTCTGTTAGGAAAGTAGTATGACTAAGACTCATTTCATGATGTGCAGAAACGTGGTTGAACAAATACTGGCACTAAGAAAACTTCTTTTCTTTTTTTTTTTCTTTTTCTTTCCGACCTCCCTCCTTCCTTCCTTCCTTCCCTCTCTCCCCTTTTCCTTTCCTTTCCTTTCCTTTCCTTTCCTTCTTTCCTTCCTTCCTTCCTTCCTTCCTCCTTCAAAAGTTGAAGGTTAAAGTTTAAGTTGTAGCCTGGCCATTACTTTTTACACTGTCTCTAAAATAATTTTATAAAACTTACTAGTTTAAAAATAATACTGATCATAAAGATCACTTTTTCACAGAGCTCACAAGTAAACTTCCTCTTGGTATAGTGTATTCAAGGGTGTTAGCAAGTAGGAAAAATAAAGTTTATAATTGTTCACAGAACTTCTACCCATTTAAAAACTATTGTTTCACATGCCCAATTTTAATTATGACACAGTTTTTAACATTAAAATCAACAAAACATCTGGACACTGCTTGAGATGTACACAGTTTGCTAACAAAAACAAAACTTCTGTAATAGAACTGCTTCAGCTTCTGAACCTCTTCCTAAGCATCATTCCTATCTTAACTATAAGCAGTAAATTTAGGGACCTATAAATACGTTTCATACACTCATGAAACCACAGTGTATTTCATCCTGAAAATTGAAGGTGCAAATCTCACTTTTTTTAAAGATGAGAGCCAACTTCAACACTAATAGAAGGACAAAAAAATTCAAGAAACTTGCAACCCCCCTAATTGTATATTGTCTAATTATCAGCGTGCTTTGAGAAATATTTATGTAACAGCTCTAATGCTTAGGAGTGAGGAAAAAAGGATTGGGTTTTGGCCCTCTTATTTAATCTCATTTGTGGCTTTGTTGATCTAGTAGAAGTCCTGTTTTGTGCTAGTAATTTCATTTAAATATAATTAATAGGTACAAACTAATATTAACTAATAATTCATGGATATTAACTAATAGATATTTCCTTTTGTCTGTCTTAACTGTTTTTCCCCCTGAAATTCACACTCGTTCTCTTAAAGAGCCCTGTGTAGCTATAAATGTACCACTACTAGACAGAGGTCCAGCTCTCTCTGTTACAGTATTGATCACCTGAATTGCATTTGTAGCCTGTTGCCTGCTATAGGGGAGACGGTGGCTTCTTTCTCCAAGCAGCCATCATCAGTAACAAAGGTTGCATGATTTTACATTTTTAAATGAAATTTAATACAGGAATACTACCTATGTTTGTTTTTTTGTTTTCTCTTAAGGAATGACTTGAGGCTACTTTTTAGCATTTCATTTGCTTACCTTTCAGACATGTCTTGCTGGTGCATAAAGTTCCTCTGGCCTTCATAAGGCTATTTTTCTGAAGACATTTTTCATCCTCCTCCCAGGAGGGGCTATGAGAGCCGTCCACCAAGAATCTGCAGCCTCCTTTGGGGGTCTTCCATGTATTCACTGTGACCAAGGAAACAACCTGTTACCTAGCAACCTGGCCCTTTAGGAGGTATTGTTACCAATCTCTCAGTGTTCATCTAAGGAATTCCTGTGCTCCTGGAGCAGCTAACGGTGATCATTGTTTCCAGTGAGTTGCCTAAACTGTGGTAGAACTGAACCTTGGCTATAGGAACATAAATTATAGCAGAGGGAACAAATGGCCCTAGCATCCCTGAAAAGTATGCTGTCTTCAGCTCCATTGTTTCTTGAATTGTTTGCATCTGGCTTGAGTTTAGTTGAAGTGGTACTAGTGCAATGTATCCCTCAGTATTTGGTTTCGTGCTTCTCTCCTGTAGTTTCAGAACAAGCAGAAGAGGCAAAAGGGAAGCTATCTAATTCCAGCTTGAACCTTGCTCAAATAAAACACCTTTGAATTGAAGGTACGGAGTTCTGCCTTGTTCGGCACAAGGAAAGAAATAGCAGATTTTCGTTTCAAAGCAAATTTTTACAACCTGTCACAGAAAAGGGCGAGAATATTATATTATATTGTATACTTGTTTACTGGTCCAAGAAGTCTGCTCAGAGTGCCTGCTATGTGTATAGATAGCGCTGTGAATTTTTAACTTCAGGAGCTGATAGTTCTCTAAACCTGTTACTTGCATGCCTCCTTTCCCCCAAATAGAAAAATGTTAGCTCTGCTTTTGGGTACTGAGAATTTGTTGTTTGCCAAAAGCACAGTAAACACTTTCATAGTCTTTACTGCTTTAGAGAACAAGACATTTAGGAAACCATTTTATTCAAAACTTCATTTGAAAACAAGATATTTGGCATGTCGGAAAAAACATTATGTTTCCTTTTCATTCCTTTTTCCATGCAGTGGTAATCCATCCATAGACTAACACTATTCAGTAACCTTAGAGATGTGCTTCATAAGAGTGAAAACACATTCTCCTCCACATTATGTTACTGTTAGAACTTTAATTTTACATACAAAATGCTTTAGGCTGAAACTTAGCCTAAAATCTTTCTATGCTAAAAAATATAATTTAACATATTTGATAATGATCTACAAATTTACTTGTTTCTATTCAAGTTAGTATAATTTTTTAAAAAAACTATCAAATATCTAAAACATTACATCTCAAATTTTCTGGATGTTTTTCCCATGATAGGGGTAGAGATGCCAAATGTCAGACATTTTTTTATCCTTGTCTTTTCTAAGCAACCTCAGAATTTCCCCAAGTCCAAAAATTGTAGACTAATGTTATCCCAAAATGAATTAGGTAAGATAAATAAATCAAAAACTGGTCTTAGTTTATCTTTTTAGCTTTCTAGCTCCAAACAACTATCCCATACCTCCACTGCCTTGGGCAAAACCTATTCATACTCCAGTGTTTCGATTCTGACTTTTCCAGAATCCTCAGATCCAGTGTCTCCCCCAGTCTCCCAGTTGATCCTCACCTTCTTCTCTCTCTCCTAACTTCCAAGATCTCTGCTCCCATCCTTACTTTCACTTAGCAATCAGAAAAGAATTTCCAGAGGGTCCCATCATCCATTTATCCACCTACTCTCATCTACCTGCCCATTTACTCTGCTTTCTTCTCATTAACAGGTATGACATCAATGCTTCTATCTTCATTTGTGGACTAGATCTTATCACTTCATCTCTACTCAAGACAATTGATCCAGAAATTCTTCTGCATCATCAGTTTCTCTGCTCTGCTGCCTCATTCCCACAAAGATATAAACATGCTGTAATTTTTCCCATTTAAAGCAGAAACAAAACAAAAATGCCCTTTGGTCCACTTCTCCATCCAGCTTTATCCCGTTGCTTTACATCCATTACAACATGGGGGAAAAGCTTTGCAAGTATTGTCTGTGCTTGCTGCATCCAATTCTCTTTCCATTTGTCTTGAACTCACTCAGGTATTGTTTTCACTCCACTACTCCACTGAAACTACATTTAGCAAGGCCACTAATGACCTTCAAGCCACTAAATTCACTAGTTTTCATTTCTTTGATCTATCCACTGCATTTGAAATGTCGAGTTACTCTGTCTTCCCTGAAGCACTCTCTTCATTTGGCTTCTGGGACCCCACACTCCATTGGTTTTCTTTCTACTTTGTAATCTCTTTTGCTATTTCCTACTCATCCTACCAATCTCTTAATACGGGTGTGCCCATAGCTCAGTCTTTAGATTTCTTTCTCTCTTAACTCACTCTACTAGTGACTTATCCAGCCTCATAGCTTTAAGAACAATTTATATGCTAATGATTCCAATATTTATAACTCCATCCGAGACCCTTCTCTGTCTCTTGAATCCCAGACCTATATATATATATATATATATATATTTTTTTTTTTTTTTTTTTTTTTTCCGGTACGCGGGCCTCTCACTGCTGTGGCCCCTCCCGCCGCGGAGCACAGGCTCCAGACACGCAGGCTCAGCGGCCACGGCCCACGGGCCCAGCCGCTCCACGGCATGCGGGGTCCTCCCGGACCAGGGGCACGAACCCGCGCCCCCTGCATCGGCAGGCGGGCTCCCAACTACTGCGCCACCAGGGAAGCCCCCAGACCTATATATTTACTTGCCTACTTGAAATTCCTCTGGATGTTTTATAGTCATCTCAATCTTAATATTCCCAAAATAAACTTCTAAATCTCCTATCCAGATCAGCCCCTTTCATACCCTCCATCTATTCAAACCCCAAATCATGGAATCATCCTTAACTACTCTCTTTCTTTCAAATACCACACCCAATCCCGGATGAAATCCTGTAAGCTCTACCTTCAAAATATAGTTAGAATCTGACCACCTCTCACGCCCTCCATGGCTACTGTGAGACCCCAAATTTCTTATTTATTTATTTATTTATTGAACTATAGTTGATTTATAATATTGTGTTAGTTTCAGGTGTACAGCAAAGTGATTCAGTTATATTTACACATATATATATTCAGATTCTTTTCCATTATAGGTTATTACAAGATATTGAATATATCTTGTAATATTCCCTGTGGTATACAGTGAATCCTTGTTGTTTATCTATTTTATATATAGCGTTGTGTATCTGATAATCGCATACTCCTAACTTATCCCTCCCCCACTTTCCTCCTTGATAACCATAAGTTTGTTTCTGAAGTCTGTGAGTCTGTTTCTGTTTTGTAAATAACTTCATTTGTATCATGTTTTTAGTTTTCATGTATAAATGATACCATGTAATATTTGTCTTTTTCTTACTTCACTTAGTATGATAATCTCTAGGTCCATCCATTGAGAAGGTTGCTGCAAATGGCAATGTTCCATTTTTTATGGCTGAGTAATATTCCATTGTGTGTGTGTGTGTGTGTGTGTTTGTGTGTATATATATATATATATACACACACACCACATATTCTTTATCCATTCATTGGCACTTAGGTTACTTTCATGTCTTGGCTATTGTAAATAGTGCTGTTATGAACACTGGTGTGAGATCCCATATTTCTTAACAGTATTATTACAACAGACACTTCACTGGTCTCCTGCTTCAGACCATACTACCCACATTCTCTCCTCAAACACAGCACCCAATGTGATTCTGTTAGTATGCAGTCATTCTTCTGATCAAACGCTTCAATGGTTAGCTGTCTTACAAAGAAAGGATCAGCATCCTTACAAGGAACTACAAGGCACTGATGTATCTGATGCTTTTTAAAAAGTAATATCTCAAAATTAAAAGTACTTTTGAAATGTCCTCAAAACAATCAAGATTCAAACTGAGTAAAGTCCTTTGATAACTTCCAAGTTGACTAATATCAGTTAAGGATAGTTAAACAGTTGGTACATGATGTTAGACAACTAACTTTTAAAAAATCCTTCTACTTTTCTTTTAAGCTTCAGGACCAGTTAAAAGAAGTATCCCAAATTTGGAATGTGAGCTATTTAAAAAAGGCTACTGTTTACAAGTACTCCTCTGTCTGATGCAGTATTTTCTCAGTATTGTGAAATCAAACCAAAAGATAAAATTTGTGTGTAGCTTAAGACAGTGGCAGCAGGCTAGTTACCAGATCCCTAATATGTCCTCCAAAAATGATACAAAACAAAAAGAAGAGAAAATATATCTACACAAAAACTGTGTAGGAAGTGCATATTTTCCTATAGGAATGTGAAGAATAACTGATCGGAAAACAAGAGAAAAACTGAGAAAAATTCCACGGCATTTCTAACACAGATGTATGGATCCTGTCTCACATTCTATTCTTTGGGGAGAAAATAATCATGGAAAAAGCCTTCATTTCCTTCCTGTAAGGTTAAATTGGAGACAAATTAAGGTTTTGCCCTTTCTTTTTACTGTGGTGTGAACAGTTATGTGCTTAGTGTAACAAAATTTTGAGGACCTGGCCAGGGTCTGGCACATAATAGGTACTCACTGGTGAGGTGAAACCAGGGAATTGGGAGTTCTTCGAGGGAGTACTTTTCTAATTAGCTGAGAACAAGATCTTACCTCCAAAGAGAAATAGGCAGAACAAGGACTTCAGCAGCACCCATTAAAAAGCAGACTAAGAGAGTTCTAAACTTAAACTGAGAGAAATTGTTATTAGGCAATAATGATTAAGAGAAAGCATGAGATAGGTCAGGTTTCTGTCATTTTAGATCTTTTTAAATATCCTTGCTTCATGAGGAAACTTCTTTCATAGTTATACAAGCATATATATATTTGCATATGTATGTTTATATACAATATAAATTTTTAATCAAAAATTTAATTTACTTAAAAGTAGCTAATACTACAGAGTCATATTGTAAAATGGTAGTTTCAATTCTGAGTCTTTTATAAATATGCAAAAATTTTTAATTAATTAATTGGCATTGAATTAACAATTTTTTTTCCAAATGTAACTAGAAACAACAAAA